AAACAGCATCCAAGTACTTCATCCAGGCCAGGCTCTGTTAGAACTAAAACTGAATGCAATATCAACTCAAATACTCTTCCAACCATCCTATGATACAGGTGACATTATATCCCTATTTTACAGTAAGCCACTGAGGTACAAAGAGGTTAACTGACCTACTCAAGGACACATCATGGGCCACTGGTAAAGCCAACGTTTGAACTGAGCAGACTGGTTCTAGAGTCTGTGCTCTGACCACACAGAGGCTGTGTGGCCTCTCTGATTTAAAATAAGACCGATCCTCAGTACTGTCATGCACATGATGCTCCTGACTCTCTTGTTCAACAGTTATATTCAATGAACTGCCAGGACTAGATATGCAATTTCTCTGTAAGTACTTAATCTATGTTTCAGTATGAAAGTCAAAGTGTTAGTCACGTCCAGCTCTTTGTAACCCTATGGACAGTAGCCTGACATGCTCCTTTGCCTGTGGTATTTTCCAGGCAACAATACTGGAGTGGGCTGTCATGTCCTTCTCCAGGGGATCTTCCCAATCCAGGGACTGAACCTGGGTTTCCTACACTGCGGGCAGATTTTTTTCTTTTTTTTTTTTTAACCATTTGAGCCACAAGAGAAGCCCACTATGAAATGTTAAATAGCAAATATCACTAAAAAGTATAAAATCTCCTCAAAGGATCTTTGTTGAAACTTAAGTTTTTACAAAATCATAATAGCTATAGTTGGCACACATGTGTTAGGATTTACTATTCCTATGATAAGGACAAAATCATCTTGAGTCTAATGAAAGCTTTTAGCAATTTGAATATTATATGATTCTAAATTATACTATAATTATTTCAAAGGTCAAGAATCTTAAATGTCTTAAAAAGTCTCTACCTGGGTGATGCCATCAAGAAATTGAAGTAATGTATGTATGAATATTTAATTATACAAACAAGTAGGAATCTAATTTAATAATATTCAAATAAAATGTGTTTTTCCACATGGGTTTTTGCATAAAAGGAGCTTTTTAAAAGAACATATTTTAAATGAATATGAGCACATATTTTACTTTTCAGTGCTAGTTTCACGGAGGTGGTTTGGAATAAAACATTGCATCACTTATTAACTCAGGGAAAACAATGAAGCTATTGTACTGGGCATGACTGTAAATTTAAGAAAAACATTTCGACTCAGACCCAGTCAAGCTTCTTCAGGAATTTATAGTCTAGCAGGGAAGGAAAATGGACACAGAACACAGGTGTAAAAATTGTTTTCAAAATTTCAGTTGGAAGAGTTTAAAGAAGGCAAATGTATACTAATCACAAGATCCTTGCCTGATCCACAGCTGGAATGATATCAACATCCCACGTGATGTTGGAAAGGCCAGTAAATTACCTTTTCCTCAGAGAACTTTAAGGCAAACTAAAACAGTGGTGTCGAGGATATACCATGGAGCCAGAATGATCTAGGTTTGAATCTCATTTCTATCAGGCACTAATTGAGTTTGGTGTGTTCACTTAATGTCTGTGTGCCTCAGTTCTCTCATTTATAACTAAATAATTACATACAGTTCATAGAATTACAGTGCTGTTGGGAGGATTAAATGACTTCATATGCATGAAGCAGGTAGAAAAGTTATATAGATTAATACATAGAATAATCTATGGTACAAATCTTCATAACTGAATCAACATAGCTTAAAGAGAGAAATCTGATGGAACCCATGTCTCTTTGTCCTGAAGCCTTAAAAATCCACATTAAAGACATATGAAAAGATGTCACCAACTCACTGATGCAACTGCAAGGCTGAGTCAATCTGTACCTCTGTATTAGCAATGGGCTCACATCATAGCAGTGTTTTCCAAACTGTCAGCAAAGCAGCCCTTAATGAAACACTATGAAATAGTTATACATTTAATTTCATCATCTGAACCAGAAAAATGCCTCTCGGGTTATCACTGTTGTTTATGTGCAATACAAAAATCATAACCACAAACACTGTTTATCCAGAAAAAAAGCACAATGCCAGACCAGGCAAGATTAGGTATTTTTGTGGTTTTCAGCAAATACCATTTCAGCAAATACAGCTCATTTTGCTGTATGAATAGGCATTAACAATGTAAACTTAAAACTTTTTTTAAAAAATAATTTCTATCCATTTTTAATAGTATCACAAATCAGGTCTCTTCAAGACTGACTGTTCTCACATATAGGCCTCCAGAAATCCAAATGCTGTCTCTGTTGAACAAAATTATTTACAGTAGCCAAGACCTGGAAGCAACCTCAGTGTCTATTGACAGATGAATGGATAAAGATGATGTTGCACATATATGCAAAGAACTATTACTCAGTAATAAAAAATAATAAAATAATGCTGTAAAAAGAATGAAAGTATGGTATTCACAGAAACATAAATGGACCTAGAGATTCTCATATTAAGTGAAGTCAGTCAGAAAGAGAAAGACAAATATCATGATATTGTTTATTATGTGGAAGCTAAGAAAATGATAGAAATTAACTTTACAGAATATAGACTCACAGACTTTGAAAAACTTATGAAAGTGGAAAGGAGGTGGGGAAGGATAAATTAGGAAATTGGGATTAAGATATGCACACTATATAGAAACAGGTAAAAGGACCTACTCTATACAGTCCACAGAACCATACTCAATATCTTGTAATATCCTATAATAGATAAAAGTGTAAAAATGAATATGTATGTTTAATCTCTTTGCTGTACACCTGAAACTAATACAACACTGTAAATCAATTATATGTTAATAAACTGAAATAAATTTTTTAAATTAAAAAAAAATTCTGTCATTGTTTTATTCCACAGACATTAGATTTCTGCTCATCATGATTCACATATTCTATACAGCAAAAAACTTGCTCTGAGAACAAAGCAGCTCTGCTATAAAGCAAGCACCACAGAATCTTGGACCTGAAACCAACTTCTTTTTCAGTTTCTAATCCAAAGCATTTTCTTAAAAAAAAAAAAAAAAAAAAAAAGGGCAGTCCCAGAGAACAAACTTACCTTCAAAACTGAAGGCCAGAAGAAACAACATTTGAAGGTACAACCTTAAATAGCAGCAAAAAAGCAGGGCAATGTCTATCTTTGAGAAAATATAGTGGAATTTTCATCTTAAATCAAGTAATCACAAAGAAACGTACTATCAGGTTAAATTGCATAGCAAAGCAGTGAAATAAGTGGGCAGGACATTATAAAATATACTCAGACAATTCCACTGGTGTTTGCTGTTCCTCATTCCCCTAATCCAATATGGAACAGATTTTGTGATAAGAGAAGGATTACAAGGGACTTCCCTTATCCACACCGTTATCCACCCTTATCCACAGCAGCCATAAGGATGTGTGGGTGAGAGGGGAAGAGGAACATGAGAGGGAAAAAGCAGGAAGTGGAGAGAGGGAGGAGAGCAGAATTTTATTTCATTTACGTACTATTGGTTTTCCTCATCCTTCATATGTTAGTTAAAAGCTGCATTCTTCCATTAGAAATAAATTCAGACATGGTATTAAAAAATAAGCAAAAATATATAAAACTCCATAAGCTATTTCAAGTTGGACTGCCATGCAAATATTACCATTCTTTAAAATCAGTAAATATCAAATGGAAAATTAGAGGTTAGGAGTACAATAGGAAAAGTCAAATGTATGAAACAAGTAGATTTCAATTGCATTCAATTATTTCACCCAATCACCTAGAAGCAAAGATCCTCTAAAGAAAATTGCATTGCCTTCCCAAATCCTTAGAGAGCCGGTTTAGTTAACAGCCTACCTATGCTTCAGAGATGACCATGCAGCTTACATGTCAAACTCATTTTAAAGTGTCAATCATGTCCTTTTCAATCTAATTAGTTTGGAAAGTAGTGTCACTGACCTGGAACTATGCAGACCATTTATTATCATATCATTTGATCAACCTAACACTTTACCTCAGTTGAGTTTGAGACACCTGTAGCCAAAATGTAATATCCTTTCTCCCACTCATGACTAGTAACTCTCGATACAATTTCCTATTTACAACTCAATTTATCTTGATGAATAAGCATGGCCAACTTCACAAAAGCATCCCCAGAATTTCCTTTATTTAAGATTTCATGATAATTTAAATAGAAAGGTGAATAAGAAAAATATTTGTATTACATATATATAATACACACACACACACACACACACACTGCTAAAAGGAGAAGAGAAAGAGCAGAGAAATATACATATATGCTGAGAGAAATTCAGGACCTGGAATTTGAGGGAAAGTGATTTTTTAACATAAATTCACAAGTCATTTTTATAACAGGAGTTTGTAGGTTATAAACTCAATGCCAACAGATGGGCTGGTGCTATAATAAAGGAAAACTTTTCCTGCTTCATAGTATTTCATTAATGAGGTAATTGCTAATTCTTGAGAGGTCAAAAACACAGCCCAGTGCCTCTAAGGGAGGATCTAGAGGCCAGACCACCATGAGCTTGGAACAAGGCAGAGTTGGGTGAGGGGCGCTGCCCTTGACAGCACTGGTAACTGGAAGATGCTAGTAGGTCAAGCAAGAGTTCACCTAGCCCTTTCTCTGTCAAGAGCATGAAAATTACCAAATTTTTGCTTTAGTTTTGCCTATTTAAAAACTGAACTGCAAGACAAAAACACAAGCAGGTATCTCTGAATCAGAGATTTACATACTGAATCAGGGACTGAAAAAATATATACAATCATATTCCACCAAAACATGGTATTCATATTTTTAAATGTGGTTTAAAAAGAAGTATAGCAGCTATATTTAAAGTTATGACTGTTCACTCCAGAAGACAATCTAAAAGCAGGATGTTAGCTGCCAATGCGTCCGTTATAGCCTGGGCCTTCCTTTGGGGAAGTTGCATTTTACCAAAATTCCTGTTTGGAGGCAGAGCAACATTCTTCATACATTTGCTTGATCAAATAATTCTTAGTGAATATGATTTTACATCTGGTCAAGTAAAACATGCATATGCATCACACTTACCTTCAGGTGAAGAGCCCGTCTTTTGGGAAAAGACAGCATTTACTTTACTCTTCTTACTGATGTCACTGTTTACAGACAAGCTGGAGTGAATTTTTCTATGCATTTTTTGAGAAACGGGTGCTGAAAGGCTTCGATTCTCTGCAGATACATGTTTGGCCCCGTGGTGGATTCCATTGCCATTGCTCAGACTCGGGTGGCCCTTCTTTATCTTGCCGATTTCCTCCTCACTTTCCTGTGCCGCAGTTTGAAGCTGAGGCAAGCGCTGAGGTTGGGCTAAGTGAAAAAAAAAAAAAAGGAAAAACAGGAAATATTTATCCAGTTAAAAACATGAGTATTTGAAAATAAACAAAATCCAATCAGTAACAGACTTTCTTGGGTTTCACCCATGATCCTAATGGGGGGGTAGGGGAGGGACACACAAATAAATATGAATACAGAGAAAGCATAATTACTAAAAGAGAAATGGGAAGGGGTCATCAAGAGTAACTTTACACAAGGGAAACAAAAAGAAGAGGAAAAAACAGTGCTTCTTTTTTCTTTAAGTAAATTTAAGTTGGAAATCTGCAAAATGTAATTCAAAACTCATTCACCAGCTAAGTCCCAGGTCCTATTGTGGGTGCCACAGACACTGCAATATTATCTGAGTATCCCTGATAATGATAAACTACTCAATTGCCTTTTGAGATAAAAGGAAAGGAACAATGAATTCAAGCATCAAAGCTGGATAAGACAGTGTGTTGCATTGTTTTCTTTTTAATTCCACTTTAAATTTTGAGGAAAATCTTTTCCATATTTTTTTAAATTGTAAAATAAACCATTTATGGCAAGTTAGGAATAGAAGAGAACTTCCTTAGTCTGATAGAACACATTTATCAAAATTTAAAGTCAGTCCTGCAGAAGTGCTCCTGCTTGGGAAGGACCAAGGAAAGAATGCCCACCTTTACCCTCTTACGTGACACTACGCTGGCAAAAGCAATGAATACCAAAAACAAAAAACATGCCTGAGTCCTGGAAAGGAAGAAACATTTTTGAGATGATACATAATTGAATATTCCAGGGGAAATCTAAGAGACTATATAGTCTGCAAAACTAAGAATTTAGCAAAACTAAGAATTTAGCAAGATGTATACATGATAAACCATATTAAATTCAGTGAAGTTCTATAAGGCAACAGTAAGCAACTAGCAAATATGCAAGAACTGAACTCTTTACAGAAATGACAAAAGAAACAAACCAACAAACAAACAAAAAAGCCTATAAGTATCTAGGAATTAAGCTAGGAAAAAGGGGGAAGAGATTCTATGGCGAAACTGACCAAACATAACTGAAAGACATTAAAAAAAACCTAATAAATGAAAGATTATGTTAATTCTGGTAATATGGTAATTATCCCCAATTTATGTAATGCAATTCCCATAAAAATTCTAAAAGGCTTATTTGTGGACCTTGACAAATGGATCCAAAATTTTATAAGTAAGAGTAGTCAAAAATCACTAAGGAAATTTTAAGGAAGAAAAAGAGGACTGTGGGATTTGACTTAGATAAAAAGTCTTATCTTGAAACTACAGTAACTAAGAGAGTGGGCTCTCCCTGTGGCTCAGCAGATTGCTTGCCAATGCAGGAATGGTGAGTTCAATCCCTGGGTCAGGAAGATCCACTGGAGGAGGAAACGGCAACCGACTCTAGTATTCTTGCCCAGAGAACCCCATGGACAGGGTCCTGGTGGACTACAGCCCTCGGGGTCGCAAAGAGTCAGATACGACTGAATGCACACGCACACACGAACTGAGACAGTATGGCACTGGTCCAGACACAGACGCAAACCAGTGCGACAGGAGAGCAAGTCACCAAAATACTTGTGCATGCAAATGCAAACGTATCTGTCTCTGATACAAAGAAATTTCAGACGTTTTCAATGTCTATAAATGAAGAGTTTAAAAGAATAATATAAAATAATATTTTATTGGCATGACACTAAAAAGGGAAAACTAATTTGATTCTTTGGACAACAAATCACAAAACAAGCACAGTGACTAGTTGATCATCTATGCTGCCCAGCATTTCTAAAGACCCTCATAGATTTTGAAAACTTCCTCTAACTCATCCCTACATTCCTCAAGTTAGAGGGCACGTATGTAACTTACATTCTACCAAGCAGAAGCACAACTCACATGCAGAAGTACAGATGCAAGATGGCAGCCACACCCGGGGGGTGGAGCCTCTCAGCACAGACAGTAGAGAAGGCATTTGTTGATCTTGGCAGTGGGTGCAGTGTCCGGGGGCCACTTCCGAGCAGATCAGTGGGCAAAGCAGGCAGTAGTAGTAACTGTTTTCATTAGGAAAGCACCCATTTGGGGGGCATGATCCTTGGCTGTAAAACTCCTGGGAGAGTCTATATGCTACTAATAAATATTTTCTATTTAAATTAGCTAAAACGGATTCTGGTTTTTGAAGCCAAGAGTCCTGATCTCCCCCCAAATGTTATCTATTTACATTGGTTAAGTAATGAATTCTTAAAATCAACATTTATCTTGCTGGTATAGTTCCTATGCAGAGTGATCAATCATAGCATTTCAGCAAAAAAAAAAACAGCAACAGCAAAAACCATCTGGTGTCAAATTTTACTATTTTATCATTTCCTGGAATTTCAAAATCCAAAGCTGCTGTTTTAATTAGTCTTTTCTGTTTAAGATTATGAACAGTTATGAAATGTTAATTAAATCTGAATACTAAGAGGTCTTCGACTTAGAAATAAGTATAGCACACAAAACTGTAACAGTTATACATAGAACTGATAATGGCTAAAATAGACTAATTATCTGTTATCTTGGGACTACCTAAGATTTCATAAATATTTTTGACAAATTAGACAAGTCTTTAGCACACATTGTTTACTTCCATTCTTATTCACATATGCTATGTCTCTTGAGGAAAAATATCTTAATATCCCAGACTCTTTTATTCTTCATGAATGTACACATTGTAAGAAAAGTTTATCATTATTCTTTTACTTAACAAAAGCATCCTTTCAAGCCAAGTTTATTAATGTTAATACCCAATTTATAAAACTAATATATGAACTCAATCATTTTTTTAGTGACAAAGGAGAATAACTATCTAAACATTTAATATTTGGGAATAGCACAGAGTAATGGCTGTAAAATTTATCAAAATGTTTTGTTTTCCTCCTAACTTCTGATGCAAAGAAAAACCGAAGAAAATGGTTATTTCTTTGCTTAGCAGCTATATATGTCCTTCTCAAAGCTAAAATAGACAATCAAGGCTTGTGCAAAAGGAGATCTATTTCTTATGGGTGTGTAATCATTTGATCTAGAGATTTAATTTGCTGCTCCTGTAACTTCTTGTATCAACTAGAATGACATCCTAATGACTGCTATTGAACATAAAACCAGTTATGCATATGTATTTAACGGGATGCCAAAGAAGATAGTTAAACCTAATTTGGTGTTCTTTTCAGAGCTCTTTCCAGTAATCTCACCAAATAAATGGAATGTTTTGGACGACTTCTTCTCTGAAAAGAATAATTCAAGCAATTGAGAGCTGGGTTACGTTGAAATGTTATTGACCAATGCTGTGGAGACTTATCAATCAAAAATGCCCTGTCATATTCCATAATCCAAGACCAATTTATAATTATTATGTAACAAGCATTCCCTATAAATAAAAATAGAGGTGGTAAAAGATAATCAGGTCTTGCCACCAAATTCTAAAACCGACAGATCTGACCTATTCCTAGAATCAAAATTGACTATTTGCAAATTACTGTGTATGGTCGGAGTGACATTCAAACATATTCTTAATGATTTATCTACATTACAATCTTCAAAATTATATCTATTTCTGTTGGCAGGTAAATGATAGTACATTCATTTTCGTTTCACTGCCACCTAAGTATTTTTAGTATAGTTTGTATTATGGTCAATAACCAAGTATTTTCTTTTCACTCCAATTTCTTAACATTGTGATTTTGTCAGATGCAAGCAAATAGAAGCAAATCAAAATTGGATAAAACCTAGATATATGAGTTATATTAACATTCAACTTCATTGATGCTTTTTCATAGATGTGACTTAAATCTTACAGTAAATGTACAACTAAAACCAAATCAGAAACATGATTGCGTTCTTGAATAAAGAACAAAAACATCTGACTGACTGATTAAACCATAACTACTTAGCTTTAAATAGATATTTTCCCCTTACTGTGTAAAAGTTGTGTATGGCTTTAAAAATAAAAAAAAGCTCACTAATATGGGAACGACACAATGCTTCTTAAAACACAAGTGATGCCTAGGGACTCTCGCTCTCCCTTTAATGATCCACTGCTCTCATTCAGCTGTCTTTCTTTTTTCAAATCTTTACATATGTGACAGCTCTCAAAAGTAGACCATAGACCATCTGGCATTTTCAGAGGTGTAACTTGTGCAAATTCAGCTCTATTGGGAGTGCACTGCTATCTTCTGCCTGCGTTATAAAGGGACAATAGAATGTAGAACTTATGAGTTGTTTTGAATTATTCATTTTTTTGCCTGTATATTCAAGAAATTTTACAAACTCTGCATTTTGTACTACATAATCACATGCGTTAAAGGTACAAAGAAACTTTTTGACACCTCTTTTCTACAGAAAGCTGGCATTTTGTTTGATATGTGAACATTCAGCATCTGTTATATCATTCTAAACAGGATGGGTGCTTCCACAAAAGACCCCATTTTAAACTTACTCTATATGAGCAAAAAAAAAAAAAAATGTATTCTTGATATTCAGTAATGAATGCAATACACATCAAAATTTCACATACCAGTTATTTGAACATTCAGCATCTCCAAACCTGGATAGCATTGGTCACCTGCTTACCATATGTGTAAAGATTTTTCAAAAAATCATTTCTCACACAATGCAGCATGATTGTAATTTTAATATCCATGATGAATAGTCACAAATGTCTTAAGAAGCACTATGCTTTCTAGGTTCAAATGTTTTCAATCAGGAAGGAAACCGATAGAATTAGATCTAGTGATTTTCACTAAGAAGAAGTATAGGAGTAATGAGTCAATAGCATGAACTTCTTTTGATAATTTAAAAAAACCTGGGTAATACTGGAGCTAGTAATAACTATACTTGAGACTGCAGCTGCTGGAGGAGCAATATAAAGCAACATTCTGCTATAACATATAATCTATTAGCATGTGCAAATCATCTTCAGTTGCTGGTCTCTTTACACAAGTCAGATTTAATAAAATTACAAAAGAA